CCTAAAAAAAAAGAAGAATAAAAAGTGAGTTCGCGAGGAAGTACGGATTAGGATCCTCTTAGTCCGAGCCATTCGTGGATTGGTTTAATGAGCCCGGGAAACCGGTTTAGGAAACTCGAGGAAACCCCTCGAGGTTAAACCTAGATCATCTCGTCCGGAGACCTCGTTTAGAAAAAGAAGCTCACGAAATTAGTTTGTGGGAGTCGAAAGGATTAGGCTCCTCTTGGCTCGGTTAATCTTTTAGATAGATCGGGTCAACGAGCACGGGAAACCGGCCTAGGAAACTCGGGAATAACCCCCGAGGTTGAACCTAGGTAATAATCGTCCTAACGGCTCTCATTTGGAAAAAGTGGCTCATTAAAAAAAAATATAATAAAAAAAGAAGAAAAAAAAAAGAAGAAAATCGAAGAGTTGGCTTATTAATCTCGTGCTTATTATTTCATGTTTTGTAGATTATTTATGGTTTTTGCACGTATATGTGAATAAGGGGGTGTGACTCGAGTGATCATTTGTGGAATGACTTGGGACGGGTTTTTGTTTTGTTTGATTCATTATGTGGGAACCGTGTCTCGGATTAGATTTTGATTTTGGGATAACCGAATGATAATGAGAGTTTCATTTTGCATGTTCGTTAATTTTGGACCATTCGATGTATCTCTTCGAGCTACTTGTTATATTGTTTGCTTGAGGACAAGCAAAAAGCTAAGTGTGGGGGAGTTGTTTGTTATGTTTTTGTGCTTATTTTCATGTGTTTATTTGTGTTATTGAGTCGGTTTTAGGTTCGTTTTAGGTTCGACCGGTCCATTTTGTCATTTTTCGTGTGTTTTTGTGTCTTTCGTTTTATTTTATATTTTGGCGTACTTTTTCGTGCTCGTTGAATATTTTCAGGTTTTTCCCGTGGATTACAGACGAGTCAAACCGAATCCCAAGAGACGAGCATTTTAGACCCATTTCGGACGAGCAAATTCTTACTCGAGCATGTCGAGCCCTTGACGAGAATACCCTGCTGGCCTGCACTCGCGCGGTCGCGCCCTTACCCACGCCCTCGCGGACGCACGCAGCAACCGAA